ACAAAGGTCAAATTGATTATGTTATTAGGGTCCCCTCTTGAAATATTCACATGGGTCCTTATTAGATTATTTATTGCCACAACATTGAACAAATTAAACTTTGATTATAGTTTTATTTATTAAATATATTTTTAGGTATATACATACAAAATTTGTATTACAAATGTATGCAATTTAAAATACTAATTAGGTACCTATCAATAATATTTTACAGCTATAGCATATAATAAATTACTTTTAACTTTTTTGACCAGGTTAACTTAAAAATATGTTAAAATTAACCTATTAAAGTAATTGTAATAATTTATTATAGTCCCATATAACCTCACTGTCCTCACTTACTATATGGTTTCCATGTACTGAAGTTTGAAAATATAGTAGTAATCAATAATCATCCATTCAATTATCTGTTCGTTTATCAACTATATATAATATTGCCTGTACAATATAAAATAAAAATAATTATTTTGAAAGGTTTTAATTAATTTGTCTGTGTTAGTCATCGCCTTAAATATTAACAGTGATTAGTAAGTCAGAAAAGGTAATAATATAGGTAATAAAAATGCACATTATATCAATTTGATAAAATGTGTAGGTACATAATTTTAAGTGCCACTAATACATTAGATCAGAATATTTTCAGTAGATAAAATCACATGTAAGTAATTATAAACAAAATAATTTTACCTATAACATTATACAATTATAAACTATATTTTATATTTAGATACTATTATTTATTAACGTAATATATAATAAAATAGTGATAATTGATATATATATATAAATAATAGTATCTAAATATAAAATATAGTTTATAATTGTATAATTTTATATATTTCATTATATGTATAATGAATACAAATATACAATATTATATATTTGAAATAGTAGATTGAAAAATAAAATCATATAATTTCGTTTCATTTTGCAAATAAATAAAATAATAATAAAAAAAAAATTTAAACTTTATATTTTAGTATAAACGAAATTTAAATTTGAATACTACAAATGTATATTTTGATAGTATATTAATATTGCATTAAAAGAAATCTTATTTGTGATTGACTATACACGTATATTCACAGATTTATTTAATGATGCAATGTGTTGCAGTTATTGAGTATACTAAAAATATTTTTTTGTTCAGAATAAAATCATGAATCTCATTTTATAAGAGACAAATAAATAAAATATTAGTAGGTATATAATATCATAGTGATATTTCAAAAGAACCTATTTTATGTAATAACTAATATATTTATATATATATTATATATATATATATTTAACATATTATGTACCTACAAAAATTAATATTTTCACTAATTAAGTATTTCAAATTCATCATTTAATATTGTAAAACATTTACAATTAGTCTATGAAAATATAGGCTCTTAATATGTACATATATTTTTATCATGATAATTATCAATAATAGGTAGTTATTAGCACAAAATTAAATGTATATATAAGATTTGAATAGATATTAATATATTCATTGAAACATAAACATATTTGATATAATTATATAATTGTATCAATATAATAGCGACAATAAAATAATTTATACATAGACAAATATATACCTATATTATAGTGAATTTTACACTTAAATATTTGTGCTTTATAACTCCTATACTATGGGCTACCTATATCGAATTGTATTAAATTATATATTATATTTAATTTTTATGTTTGAATTATAAATCATAAAAAAAATGCAAATTAAAAATAAAGTTCGTGTTTACCACAATTATAGTGGGTATTGGTACTAGTTACTATATACACTATATTATATTATCTATAGTTAAATTAATACTATTTTTTATTAATTTTTCGACTCTTTTGTATAAAATTGAATACAATCTATAAATAATCTTTGAAATTAAATAACTATAAGCATGACAGTTAAGTCATTCAGCGGTATGTTATTTTCGTTAAAATTAATTTATTCAAAAATTTAGCTGATTATATTTTATTTAAATTATTTTTAACATTTTAACAGTTATTAGTAGTTATCTCTATATGATTATTGAAAACATCAAAAAACGAACAAAAAAATGTCATTGCTATAAAAGCTCTACTAAAAAAATCTATATTACTTATTTTATGCTGTAAGCTGTAAATATACATGAATATGGTGAATCATAAAGCATACATCATACATCAATAATATAGAATTGAGTTGTGTGTGAATTTATACTTTATTTAAAAATACTGTATAATTTATTATTAAAATACTTTGATTTATCGGAAGTTAGAATATATTTATTTTAACGTAGTTAAATAATTAAATATCGTAATTAATAGGACATTAAAAAATGGAACAGAAAAATAAACATCAATTTATGTTTTAATGTCACATTAATTGTAAATATTTTAAACGATAGATACGGAACAAAATTAAAATCAAACCAATAATTGAATAGCAATGTGAAAATTTATAAATTTATTACATTTATTGACTACCGACAATTTGCCAATTTACGAGGCGATTATATGGCACAATATTTTTTTTTTCCATTACTTTCGCTTAAAGATATCTTAATACTATACTATAATTATATATTTCTGATTATATAGTTATATCTACAATCTAAATATCTAATATGTTTAGCAATAGCGGTACCTAATGCTTATATGTAGAATTGTAGAAGGTGTATTTAAAGTATTTGTCCTATTTTATTTTGTAGCTTTCATATTTTATTCTCATTAACGTCATAAAAATACCAAAATATAAGTACCTACCTAAGCCATGACGTGTAATATTGGTAAGATAAAATTATTATATGTGAAAAAGATATACGTGTGTATTAATTTTAAACTGTTATGATTTAAATACCACAAAGCTGTAAAACCGAAAATTCAGGTATAAAATAATTTCTAAAATATAAATATAACTACACTTTGATTTTAGCCGATAGGCCGAGAAGCCTATTATATATATTATCAATTAGTTAATATATATATATGTATAATTGATTTGAGCAGGTTTTCATATGAGTCTAAAAAAAAAGTACTAACAACAAAATTTGCATAAAGTATAATTTACTAATAAAATATCTATGTTTGATTAAATAGCTTAAAAATGAAATACAATGTTCCTTAAATTTTTATAGACTTGTATTTATAGAAACATGAGAATGTTAAAAACAAATATAGGTACTTGATGACACAATATTTTAAAAATATAAAAAATTCATAAACAAAGTTTTGTATAGACTTTTATAGTTTATGCACTTCCTCAATTTCTCCTATGAAGCATCCCAATAATTTTCCAACTAAAAATGTAAATAAAACAAAAAAATAGCTGTGCATATTGTACATAATATGAAAAATGAATATATCATGATATGCATGAGTACCTAATGCAGAATGAATAGGTGTGCTTTAGTTGGTTTGACTATTTGATAAATAAGTACTACCTATGGATTTAATTAAACGGACAACAGTTTAAGAATTTACCAGAATTTTAGTACAATTTTAGCGAATTGTACTATTTTCAAATTCACATCATAGATTTCGAGGAGAGTAATAAAAGTGTATTAATTTTACAATGATATAGGTATGTTTTATTTTTATTTTGTTTGTCATCACTTTTTAGAACTGTAACAGTGCTATAATTATAAACTTTGATGATAGTTTCAAACAGAAAATTGAATCTAGTTGATACTTTGAAAGACAAAAGTAATAAATTCTATGAGCTTTTCTTGATGATTAGAAATAACTAGAATTTTTACTCAACACTAGTTTTTGTTATTTTGTGACTTATTAATTCAAAATCAAACAATCGAAGATTGGTATCTGAAATCTTCACCAAATGCTTATAATAGCACATTATTTATTGATATAGGTATATGATAAAATTTCAAAATAATTTGACTTTTTTTATAAGTTATTTATAGATATTTAATTTTTTTTATATAAATATCAATAAAAAATTATTAAATAATTAATAAATACCACCTCCTACTTGAATTATGTTTTAGGAAATAAATTAATGAAAACCATTATCTATAATATTTTATTATTATTTAAATTTGAAAGCTATGCTTTATTCTCACACTTGAGTATTTGACAACAAAAGTGTCATGCGATGGATACATTTTAGGTAACAACTCTCAAATATAACGGATCTGTGAGAAGTAAAATTAATATGTCATTGTTGACCTCCAATTAAAAAAGTTAAGCACTCACACTACCATCTATATAGCAGAATAGTTTTTCGGCTTTTTAATTTTAAGATGCATAAAATTAATAGCCCAAAGTAGCCAGAACACTTATGACTTTTATGAGCTTGTAACTTAAAAAGTGATAACCAAGTTCGGCATGTTCACACTTCACTTTAAGAGATCATTAATTGTGACAACATTTTGTAACTATTTATTCAATTTAATAGGTATCCAATGAGTTACACTAGTTACAGACTATTAGCCTATGATAAAAATGTACAAAATCAATTCAAACTAGGTAGGTACTTATAAAACAGTAAAACATAATTTGTTATCAGTATTTTGTTATCACGCGCTGGTGTGAGGTTATGTTGTTACGTCCGTGGTCTGAGTAAAAGGTATTACTGTATTACCTTTTTTCTTTTCACAATTTTCCTCGAAAATCGATAATAATACTCCATTGCATTGCCGTTTGCGGTCTGCTGTATTGCGTATGCCAATAACTAGCGTCTAGCACTGGCCACTACGCGTGAGAGTAAGTCGTGGATCTTCGTGCATACTGTCTGTCGTGTCGGTAAATAACTATGTAGTAATAATAATTAATTAATGTGATAGGTACGAAGATCTTTTTTTCGGAGACTGTCCGTTGTATTGCGGAACGCACCGAAATTTATCATTTTATCGTCAAAACTGCACTTGAAAATAATTGTATTTTAAAAGGCCCGTTTTTGTTGTTCGCACAGTAGATAGTTATCATACACACTCGTACACATTATATATTAATTATTATACTTCTTAGTTCTTGCAGTCAAGAGGTGAGTTTATCTTTCCCCCCTCTGTGTTCGCATGCGCGCATCCAGGGTCACAAGGTGCTCGCAAGTCTTGTTTTCATCGTTATAATGGAGAGTCGGAGAGGTTGCAGATTTCATTTGCTCGGCGGTTATCCGCTGATTAACAACAGGCTTAATGTAGCCGGTTGCTATTTATTTATTTATTTATTTTCTAAAATTTTTAAAATAGTCAAACAGTATTCGAATTTCAATAATTCGTTAATTTATTTTTATCTCTCAAAGGGTCGATAAATATGGCCACAGATTATTTCTTTGAAGGGGCCGAAAAGTTGTTGGAAATATGGTTTGGACGTCAAGATGGAAAAAATGAAAATGGAGACTTGAGAAAAATACCAAGGTAAAATTTATAATTTCCTCAATTCATCTCTAATTTTTAAATTATTTTTTTTTTTAATAACATTTTAGTTAAGAGCATAATGTTTGTAGTCCTCGGCTTTGATTTTTTTTATTTTTTAAAATATTTAATTTATAGTTACATATTAGCCTTGAATCAAATCTCTTATTTTTTGGTTTAATCATTCAAATCATTTATATCTAGAGGAAAATTATATTTAAGAGATATCACTTTAAATCTTGTTATTGACCAAGTGTATTATAAAAAAATGCGTTATATACTTAGAATTTAGATGAATAATAATTTTTGTGAAATTTTAATGATAGGCAGAGTACCTACCTAATTAATATATTTAATATTAGTTTACTAAAAATAGTAATTTTATTTATTTTAGTACTTAGCACCTACTTGTATTATTTTGATTAAAATTTTAATTTGACTAATTAAATAGTATTTTCTGTATAAGCTGATTTATTTATACAATGGGCAAAGCACCCTTATTTGACTAAAACTACTATTAATATGATATTGAACATAAGTTATTGCTCAGAATACAAATAATATCATTGATAAGATCAGTTTCCAAAATGAAATCTAATTAAGAATGTTTATTTTTAAAATTTTCTTTTGATTTTTCAATAACCTGATCATCTTTGACTATGTTGTATCTGCTTAATAATAAATAATGTTTTAGAATTCATATCTCCTTATAAATCGTTATAAATTATTAAAAAATATTTTAATAACTAAGAACAAATTGAATTAATAATTTAAGTTTTAACAATTTTTAGAAATATATCATTGTTTTCAAGAAATTTAATTTTTATTAGAGATTTCTGTGATAGTATGTTTTACTTAAAGATTTATTTAATTTGTTTATACATATTTTATTTACATAGCCTTATTTATTATCTATTATAATATGACTTATGTCAGACTTATGATCAAATTAAAATTAATTCTATAAAAATAGCATCAATAAGATAAAACAAATAAATATTTTACAAATTTATCATTATATTTTTCATTTTAGGTGTGAGTATGTGACTTTAACTTTAACTTTGGTTTAATACATTATAATGATTTTATAGATGTAAATTTATTTTTTAGATATATTATTACCAATCATTACTTTCATTGCCTTTTTAAACTTGGCAATCCCAATTATACTAATATTCTTCAACATTAAATTTAAAAGTTAAATAAATAATAAATTATGAGATACTAAATTATCGTTTGTACTACATTACTCAGAATATGAAATATTATTTAATTTATTAAATTACAATTTTCATTTTTTAAGGGAATGGGTTAATAATAGTCTTACAATTTCAAACTGTAGTTATCATTTCTATAGAGTATAAATCAAAACATTTTAGACTCGACAAATAATTATATTAATTACCTAAATTAGGTACAGGAAGGAAATCCAAATAATCTATTCTATATTATAACCAAGTTTGAGTAACCCTAGTTATATTTAAAATCATTTATAAAATTTATTGAGAATTTGCTGAATTTTAAATATAACTTTTACTTCTACTATAATTTTGTATTTTCTGTACCTAATTAAAATAATTATAATTTTTGTTATTGATTTCTTTTGAAAAAAATAATATTTTTATTTATATTTTGTTTTATTTGTGAACTTTGAGTTCAAAAATGTTACTTAAAAACAACAATATTATTTTATGGCTTATTTTAGTGCATTTTTTGGAAATGGTCCATTTATTTTCCGCGCCAAAATATATATATATATATAAAAGAAACCATAATTATACATATGTGAAGGTTAATAATAATAATATAAATTAATGTATAGTTTAGTCCATGTCTTATGTATAACTTATTATATAATTTTTTTATTTCATGATAAAAATTTACAATATTTAAGAACTATAATTTATCTTATTCTCGTCTATGCTTGATAAGTAGGTGCTAAAGTGCCTCATGTGTATATAATTAATAAAATGATAAGCCTATTTTATGGATTCAACTGTTGAAATTGATTTATCAATATGGTTTTTTTTTTTTTTATTAGCTACTAGTAACTTGCTACCTATTACTATTATATTAAATATGATACTTGAATTGAAGTGATAAAAAAAAAAATTTTAAAAAATATGCAAAAAAATAAAACTAATAAAACGTGTCTATAAATTGTCTTGGTAAACAAAAAAATTAAGAATGTAATTTTAAATTTTAATCTTAACTTCTCACAATGTATGTGAATTTAATTTGTAAATAGCTATGATATTGTACTAATTTTAAGTGTTTAAAATAAAATTCTTGATAAGTATTAACATATTGTAAAAAATTTATTTTATTTAAGCTATTAAGAAATGTTGTCTTACCTAAATGATTATTTAATATTTTATTTAAAATTACTATGATTACAATTTTAACTCTAATCATAATCCTTACAATATGTTTTAAAACTATATTAGAGTAATAAGAAAATATAATAAATGAAATTCATTTTTAATTTAAAATGTTATTATTATGATGGGTAAACATAATAGACTAAACAAAATAATTTAATTATATTAAACAAACTAAAATAATATGTTTGATTAGTATATTATGCACAAAGTAGCATTATCATAAGTTAAAATTTCTGTTACTAAATTACACTAAATTAAGACAAACATTTATCTATTTAATTTTATATCGATATTAAGAACATAAAAAAAAAGAAAAAACTAAGAAATGTATATTTTTAAGATAAAATAATAATTGAATATTATATCTATTATTATTTTTTATATCATATCAAGTTTTTAAATAAATGATAATATACTTTACAAATGAATAAGAATATTGTTAACATGAATTAATAGAAAAAACTATTATGAAAGTAAACACATATTTTTGATACAAGTATATTTTGTAGTATTTATTTTTAGTTTTAAAATAAAATAATATCAAAAAACTAATTAAAATAAAAAATGTATTTTGTAAATTTGACTACTCTATATTCCTTAATGTTAAACAATTAATAATTTTGCTAACATATATTTAATCAATGGAATTATAATCTCTAAATTTTTATCTTGAGGTTTATTTTTATCGTTATATTTTGATATAATTAAACCATTTGTCCATATTTATTTAATATTAAGATTTAATTTAAATTGAATAGTGATTACTAATTAGGATTTATTTAAAGCTTTTATTAGATTAAACTTAACTTAATAAAGTGTTATTGTAGATTATCAAATTATAATACTTTTATCTAAAGTATTTTAAATATACTTATATGAAAACTAATATTCAAACATAAGTTATAACTGCTTATTCTAAATTACATTTTTATACATCAAAATACTTCAAAAATATTTAGAAAATATTATAAAACATTTATAAAATTAAATTATTTAAAAAAAAAATAATGAAAATCCATAAATGACATAAATATTAACTTTTATTAAATAAGCTATAAAATAATTATTTAATATAGGTATGCATTATTAAAAAAAAAATAAATATTTTAACCTAATTTAATGTGGAAATAATTGGTAGGTATGTACAAATCTTATATAGTCGTTTTATAGAACAAAAAAAGTTAACACCACCATTGATTACAATGACTTAATTGTAAAAGAGATTAACTCAAAATCTACTATACAACATGAAGTCCGGGTTTTCGATTCAAAAGTTATAAGGATAAAACTTTTTATCATTTATAATATTACTGTTTTATTGTAAGATATTTAGTATTTCTCCCAGAAAATGTTTCCCAATTACTGTGTAGTAGTTAGTACAAATTTGTATTTAGAAAAGTGAGAAAAATGTAAACATTGTAAACTTTTAATTTAGTTTTAATAACTTTGATGTATAATTTTCTTTTATCAGTATAATTTTATAATTTAATTTTGATTTATTTTTAATGGCATTTCATAATCCTAATCTTTTTAATCAGTTATCACATCAAATAGCAATTTTATTCCTTTGGCTTATAATGTTTTCTGTGATAAAATATTTTATTCAATATAAAACTGATAATTTTGTTTGAGTAAGCAATACGCATATAACTCGATTTACCTTTAGTACTCTTCTATGTTGTGTATCATTATCAAAACTATAATAAAATTTAATGACAATGTATGTATTATTCCTATTGCATATCATATTATTACATAATTGAAAAGGTTTTAATAAAATAATCAATAACCTATATAATGCATAATAGTTGTAAATTTATTATTAAGTAATTAAATGATTTTTAAAATTGATACTGTTAGAACAATTTCAATAATTATTTTCAGTTCTCATATAGCAGGTATTTATAATAGTATGTTTATACATATATGTTATTATGGATACCTAAGCTCAAGAGAATTATATGAACCCAGATAAATTACAGAAATATAATATGACGGGAACTAACATATTAATACGTATAATACTGTAAATATTTAAAGTAATGACCTCTTAAAAAACATAGATAAATATATTTAGATAAAGTCTTATACTAGTAATAATATCATTAAATAATCTTGTATTAAACCTATTCACTTTAATTAATGTGTTTTTATTTGTTTTAGAGAAAAATATGAAGACCTCTTAAAAGCTGCATGTTGTGAAGTAATCAGTTATACCAGTAATGACGAGATTGATGCTTATGTTTTGAGGTAAAATATGAAAAAAAAAACATTTTAATTAAATTTAAAATTTAAACTAAGAACATTTATTGATTAGTTTTTGAATTATTTTAAGATATAGTTTATTTATTAAAATTAATATAAAACAACTAAGGCGCTTAAAATTTAACTTGCTTAATGTTTCTAAAGGCTAATCTGTATGCTATGTTATCGTTGTTTTCAAATTAGTTTTATCATAATTTGATTTGTGTTCTTTGAGTTTATCTAAAATCTTTTATTAAATATTAGGTTTGAAGATTCTATATATAGTCCAAATATTATCAGAATATGTTGGAAATTGTATCATCATATTTGCTATATCTATAAAATACTAATAATAATTAATTGATCAGAATTATAAGCTATAATTCCTTTAGTACTAAATAACACGCTTACTAAAATAAAATTTGTTTTAATTACCATGAATGATTATGTTCATCACATAATTTAATGGCGTTGCTCTCCTTCAAAAAGGTTCAGATTGGTTAATTTCTTGAGGGTTATTTTAGTCTCAATTAAATATAAATAATTATAATATATATCTTTATTAAATATAAAAAAAATAACTTTTTTTCAGTCATTACTTCTAATACTTTTCAGCTATTCAATTAATTGTAAACTTATATCCTCATTAATGTCTTTGATCTGAGTTGTAATTTACTTTTTCTATTTGTCCTAGTCTATTTTATAGAGACAACATGAAAAACTTACATTTTTAGTTTGTCCATCAAACATAATTTGAATTTAAAAAATTACTTTCCTTATTAAAAAAAAAAGTCTTTATTGATCTTTAGTTTGTTTACTAATTAAATTGATTAAATATGACATTTTGAGAACCATGTTTAAAACTGGTAACTCTAGGATGTCGAAAAAAATGATTTAATTCTTACAATCTTAAAATTAACTGCCTTCCACATAACTATACTGTTATCCAACAAGTATTCAATTTGTCTTCTTTTTCAAACAGACAAGTCTGTGGTTAGAAATTTTTACTAAAGCTTTTCCTAATAAGATTTTCTTTGTGTTGCTTTTCTAAATTAATTTCAAATTTCTCAATCACTAATTGAAATCTGATTTTTCATTATCTATTTTTTTTACTTCCTCTAACTAATACTCAAACTTTCATTTAATATTATTAATGTAACTCACAATTGTGTTAATAAATTAATATGGTTTATGGTGATAAGCATAGATGATGTTGCTGTTCTTCAACACAATAAAAATGATGACTGAGGCTCATAAGTTGATGCGTTTTTATTTGTATTTTTATTATTATTATTTTTTTTTTTTTTGGTTGCTAAATAAGGAGACATGTTAAAAGGAAAGTAAAAATCTATTTCTAAATAATAGTTGGTAATAAAAATATGAAGTATAATAGTGCATATTTTTTTTTTATTTTGGGTTTATTTGGTATAGTATACTTTTCTAAGTTATTAACACATATTATTAAGAATAGATATTTTTAATCTTGAATGACTATTGGTTTTATTAGCTTTACGTAAGTACTACAAAAGCAATTTCATCGGTAAAACTTATAACAATTAAAATAACACTTTTAAAAATGAATAAATTTCTTCTGTTATTTTAAAATTTACTTTTGATTTTTTTTACTGCATATTTTTTAGTTGCATAGTTTTAGATTTTAGTGGAGTATGGGCATGTTAATTTATGCATTTTAGTGCATGAACCTAAAAAGCCCTGTTGATAAAGAAATGTTAGTTTTGATTTTTGTATTCTTAAATGAAATATAAAAATTTTATCAAACTATAAATATGTTAATTCAAATTCACTGTCTCAATGCTACTGATATAATTTTTTTTATGTAATATAATCTATATATGACTGTTTTTATAACTTAAATTATTTCATAGTCATTAAGTAATAAAATTTGATATTTACAGTGAAAGTAGTATGTTTGTTACAAAACGCCGGTTCATATTAAAAACATGTGGCACAACAACTCCGATAGAATGCATTAAACCATTACTGCTCAACGTACATGAATTCACTGGATTTGATGAAGTAGAAGATGTGTTTTATTCTCGTAAAAACTTTGAACGTCCTGAACTTCAAAAAGATACACATCGCAACTTTAAATTAGAAATTGAATCTTTAAATATCATATTTAAAGGAAGTATGTAAATATTACATTTTAAAAGTTACTACAACACAATCAATACAATTTGTTATTAAAAACATGTTCTACAGCTGGAGTGGCTAGGTTTATGCGCTCATCAAAAACAAATGATTCTTGGTATTTGTATGCTTTACATCCAGTTGAATGTTTTGGAAAAGAAAAACAAAATCCTGATCAAACATTGGAGATACTCATGACCAATTTGGATCCGCACGTCATGCAAATATTTACAAAAGATCAGTCGGCTAATGCAAGTCAAGCTACTCAGGTATAATAAACAGTTGAAAGAAATTTAAATTTACTCAAATAACCATTATGTTTTTAAACACAATTTTAGGATTCTGGAATATCGGAATTGTTGCCTAATATGAAAATTGATGATTTCTTGTTTGAACCTTGTGGTTATTCTATGAATGGTATTGCAAAAGAGGTAAGATTTCATCAGAATTAGCTTTAATTATTCAGTTATTTAAAAAAAATGTTTTTCCTTCTTATTTTAAGGCTTATAATGGTTTATTCCATACCATCAGTGTTTCTAATACACTCTTCTACCTCTCTCTATTAAACGCCACTCCCTAATTTGGTACTGAATTGATTTTCATCAATATATCGCATATCATCTCTGCCAAGGCCTGCCTTTTGGTTTTTTCCTATTAACTTGTTTTTCTTGGCTTTCTTAATAAATGATTCTTCTACTCACTAGTCACATCCTACCCACTTAAATCTCTTTCTAATTAAGAATGTTATATACTGTTATGTCTTATTATAATTCTTTTTTGAAAACAGTAATATGTTACTTTTTCTATATTAGTCTCACTAATTTATTGGGTTTGCCAAAGTTTCCTAGAGTTATTCACTATTGTATGCAGTTGATGCTGTCATATACTGTCATATGCTTGTTTGAAGTCTATAAACAACATATGAAAGTCTTTATTGCATTCATAATATTTCTCCATAAGTTGTCTCAGTGTGCAAATGTGATTTGTTATGGATTTTCCTTTTTTAAAGTGATCTTATTACTTCCCAACTATGTATTGCATACATTTTAAGTTTTCTCAAGACAGCTATTGATAAAACTTTGTAATGTTGAGTCCAGTTGTGTGATTCTATGATAGTTATTTTCTTCGTGTCTTTTTTTTTTTGAAAATTGGTCTAAATTCCTAAATTCTAATCTTCTGATATTTGTTCATTCAGTTGCTCGGCTAACCATAATTTCAGAGAGATTTGCCTCAGAAATTTTTTTTTAAATAAGTGGAGGGGGATTTATGTTTTTTTTTAACTGTAAGTGTAATAACTAATATGATACTTAATAGGTAGCCAATACTGATTTGAAATATAATTAGTTGTATAATATTATTATGCATTAATAATATCAATTTATATTAGCTACTTCCACCATTTTTTTTTTGCGTCCATTGTAGTGAGTAAGTCCTTGGTATATACTTTTTTGGCTTTAGAAAATTTTCAATTTGTCATACCACTGCATTCAATTTATCACGCATCTTTTGCTAGGAGTTATATTTTTGTCACAAGATCTTTTACCATCAGTTCAAGTAGTTCTGGATTCATTTCATCTTCTCCTGGGGCTTAAAAGTTTTTTAATTTATTAGCAATAAACTTACTCTATTTTATCCAATTCTGACTCAGCTAACTTTAGTTCTGTTGTTCGATAAATCATTTTCTCATATTTTACAGTATTTCCATTTGTACTGCTGTTACTTAGCAACTCATCATAGTGTTCCTGGAATTGATCAACTATTTGGTTCCATCAACAGATCGTCATTGTTGGTTTTTATGATTGAAGTGTAGGGTTAATTAAAAATTATTTGATAGTTCTTAAATGTTTTAACATTGTTTATTTTATTCTTAGTGAAAATATTGTGTACAATATCATGTATGATAAATAATGTTTCCTAATTAATATGTATTTTTGTTTTTGAGGGACATTATATGACTATTCATATTACTCCTCAACAAGAATTTTCTTATGTTAGTTTTGAGACTAATGTTCCTCAAAGCTCTTACAAGGAACTCATTTTAAAAGTGCTGAAAACATTCCAACCAGAAAAATGCGTGCTCACTATGTTTACTAATGAGGTATATAATAAAAATGATAAAATTACTTGATATCCTTTATTAAACAATTTCAAATATTTTAAATTAAATAACTTGTTATTTTCAAACAGATTTCACCAAGTAAATCAAACCATAAGGAATTTAAATATCTAACACATTTGGGTGAATGGCAACAAGACTCAAACAGGACGTGTTCACTGAAAAACCATGACTTAACTGTATCATTTTACTCCAAATACCCAAGCTGAGATCAACCGATGTGGGACACGCCTCTCAACAAAAACGAAATGCTGCTATTGCTACATAACACAGCTATCCTAGTCGTTCTAGTCTGCATAAAAACTCTATGTGTCACCAAACCTATTTATCACTTTGCATGGCGTCGTTTTAAAATAGTCTAAATTGTATTACCTTATAAAATTCTGGTGTATACCAGAATTCTGTAACATAGTTGTTTTTATTTGTTCATGTTATTTAAAACAAAATATATTCATGAACATTATATGTTCCTGTTACGGACACTAAATACGCTTGGTTTAATTGTGATTATGTGGCAAGCATTTTGTTTTGAGGCATATAAAAATTGATGCGCCATAAATAAATTTCCATTTATAAATATTTGTTATTACATTTTTATATATATTTTTTTTCGAAACATTACATTCTTTTAGACTGTTTAGACACCTACTACTTTTAAGTGTATGACTTTGTTTTTACATTTTAATTATGCATTTTATTATGTTATTTATTTTAAAATATTAATTTATGGAAATAAATTGTTTCAAAAATAGAATGTTATATATAAAATTTTAATGATAGTTATTAAAAGTTTTAATTTGTACATTTTTTCCTTATTTATTTAAATTATTATCTCTTAAGTTCAAAGATACATTGAATAATTACATTATTAATTAATAATAATGGATAAAAATGTATAGCAAACATTCAATTATGTTTTTTAAATTTCCTAAATGTATGTATTATGATTATAAACTCAATTTGAAATTTAAAAATTAAAAATTGGAAAATTTAAAAACATGATTATCAATAATAATTTTACTATTTACTGTTTAATTATAATACATCATATACATATTTAATATGTATAGATATTTTCCTTAAATAACTATTTTACTTATATAATTATTTTGCTTTATAATTTCATACAATAGTTGATTAGTGTCAACTAGTATCTGGTTCAATGAACAAATAAATTATTGTTTTTGTTAGCAAAAAATTATTTAATGGTTTAAAATGTATAGGTTTTCAATTGTTATAGCCAAAATAAAAGTAATTCACAGTTCTTAGTTCTTCATAAATGATTTGTATTAAAAGTTTAGAACTTAAAAATAATTTTTTTATAAACGTTCAAAATTCTAACTTGGACAAAATATACAAATATTGAATAAGTTTAGAGAAATATTAATTTCTACTTGTATTAGAGTAATAATTATAAAATAAAATTACTCTGGCTTGCGCTATGTGTTAAGCTATCTGAACTCTGAACTAATCATGTTTCTGTGGTAGTTGGTAGATACACTAGTTTAATCACAGTAATCTATACTGGTATAGTCGTATAGAACAATAAGATGTAAACAGAAAAGTTATCAATTTAAGGCTAAGGACTTGTAGAACTTTGTATGTTTAATCATTCAAAACCTAACTAAGTAATATAGAAATTTGTTTTATTATACTAAAAGTTAAAGCAATTATTTTTATTTTGGATATTCAGCTCTTTTTTTCCATTTAAGAGCATAATTTGTTATATTTGTATTTTAAGTAGGTACATATTTGATATTTCACATATTTTGTTAAAGAAAAAAAAATTTAAAAATTTTTGACTTATAGAATAATATTTTATACGTATTATATACTATACAATATTTAAAATTAATTTTCTAAAATTGAAAAATATGATTAAAATAATCCATCTATTTTGTGTTTTCTCAATTATTTATGTTGTGAAAAATATAAAGTTGATCAATAAGGAAATAAGGAATACGTGGAGTATCTACGCTAAGACGTCCAGTTGATGTCAATTCATCTGTTAGTATCGCATTTGTTTTCATCTGGCATTTATTTAGATAGAATAATATTCTAAACTAAATACAGTAGTGAAAATTAAATTAAAAATGCCTCAATAAATAATAAATAAATTTATAATTTTTGGTTTTTTAATGAAAAATAAAATATTTTTAATAGCATATTTTAGTATTTTTGCATATTTTCAGAGCATATATGATAATTTTTAATGGCAAAATGCACGCATATTATAAGGTGCTTTAGAACATAAAGTCCTAGCCATATGTTCCTTTTTATGTAGTTAGGTAGTTATCTTATTAAAAGGCTTATTTTATTATCCAGAGATCTAGACCAATACTTACTAGAGTTAACCACTAGATCGCGCTAGTATGTGTTTTATTCACTTTAGCTTTCAAGAAATGCTGCGCTGCGACTCAACGTGTTTTGATAGTTGATATCAATGGGCAATGATATCATTAATAATTGTACAAAACAGTAAATACAATAAAATTACATGTTTTGCTAGTTTGTTACTATTTACTATTTAGTAAAATTTACTAGTTACTTATTAGTTTATAACTGTATTAGAAATCAGAAAGTTACATGTTATCTATCTTTTTTGAACAAAATAGACGTACAAAATGTTGAATTTAAAAGAATATGGTAGCAGTAGTGATGAAGAAGGTCCATCGAAAAATACGACTCAAGAAACACCTTTAAATGATTCAATAAGTGTTCTTGAATTAAATAAAAAATTTGCAGTAAATGCAGCTCCAAATGTTTTACCACCAGTAAGTTTTTAAAATAAAATTTGGTTTCAGTTTGTTGTCTATTGTACAGTATAAGTAAAGTTCCAATAAGTTAAAACAAATTTCTATTCTAGTACAATTGTATATTTTTACGTTTAACGTAGGTTGATAAATATTTGTGTTTTATGGGTTATCGCGACTATTTTAATTTCTATTACTCATTTGGGTTATTATAACTATCGTATTATCAAAAATTTGCTTTTACTTTTGTATAATTTTTATAATGTAATGTATACAATTAATGGTTTTAATTTTATTTCATTAATATGCATGAAGTATCGTGTCTGATCATCTTTCCATGTAATACTCAAATTTTTGGTTAGATTTCATATGATTGAATAAAGATTTTTGATTAAGTTAGGGTTTTAATTATTTTTTGATGTAGCTATTGAAAATAAACCTGGTTACAGGTAATTAAAATTACCAACTTTATACTTCTCAGTTCTCATTAAATAGTCTTAACTCATAATAATATGAAATATTGTTTTCTTCTTGAAAAAACAAAAATAGTTTTGGTTCTTTTGATTATTTTTTTTAAACTCAGTATTTAAAGATTATTTACCTATTTATACTTTTGTTTGCTGAAATTAATATATGTGTAGTTATTTGTCTTAATCTGCCTAATTATGCATAATATAATTAAAAATCATAAATGCATGTATTTTACTTGATTGATTGCAACAAGTGCATGAATGATAAGATATTTTAAAAATATAGAAATCTTACTAGACGTTCTGGAAAAGTAAAAAAACGAAGAACTTCTTTAAATATGTAATTAGGCATGTTCTAAATAAAGTCATGATTTAATTCAAAGTAAATTGAACGAGCAATTAATTATTACTTAAAATATTATCATATAGTTATAGTATATACCTATTTAAGTATATAATAACAATAATAACATCTGTATATATCCTATTGATTGTTTTGATTTTTACTGATTTTAATAATACTGAATATGGTATGTTTATTTATTAGGGGCCAGATACATCAGTTCAGTATCTTGATGTCGGAACAAAAGAAATCACCCGGAATATGAAATATGAAGAGCTTTTCACACCAGTTGCTGGACCAGAAAATCCATTCTTAACACAACAACAAAAAGCCCCTAAAAATATGATGACTGGATTTGTTGAAAAAGCACATATTAGTGATTTTATGTTTGAAACTCAAAGAAGAACATTTCATAGTTATGGTATGTTAAAAATAAATTAAAGACTAGAACTATTATAATGTTTGTTTTTAAATATTAATGAATTACTGATATTGAAGTATTTACCCAAATGGTAAAATATCTATAATATTTATAATATTTATTGATTATTAATTGTACAATTAGGTTATGCTCTGGATCCTACAGTCGATTCTACTGAAATTATTGGTCGTAAGCCTGATAATGCTGATGAATTTAAAACAGTTTTTGAATCTGTCCCAAAAAGGCCAGCTGATAAAAGAAAACGTCATAAAAATGACAAACCAGAAGATATTGATGGATATTTAGGACCTTGGGGGTGTTATGTCGATGAACAGAAAATATCAAAACCAGAAGGAGTAAGAAAATGTGTTACATAATTATAGAGTTTTTGAAACTGTGTTTATTTATGTTTAAATGTTGTGTTTTTTTTTTTTTTGTAGTTAATCATAATTTATTGATATTTTACTGATAACTTGTTTTGTTTGTAGGAAGATGCTATTGCTATTGAAGAATTCCTTGCTAAAAAACATAAACGTGGCAAAAAAGTTGAAGATAAAAGCTTTAAAGAAAAATCAATTCTGCATAGTAATTTTATTTTAAATTTGAATTTATGTATTTTAGTTTAAAATGTGAATAATTGTTTTTTTAGTTAAAGATCCTGTTGATTATCAAGGACGTTCATTTTTACATATTCCACAAGATGTTGGTGTTAATCTTAAATCAAGTGCGCCTCCTGATAGATGTTTCCTTCCTAAAGCACATATACATACATGGCAGGGCCATACTAAAGGTATATCAGCTATTAGATGGTTTCCGAGGTCTGCTCATTTACTTATGTCTTGCAGCATGGATTGTAGAGTCAAGGTATATATTTAATTAATTTATTTTTTTAAGCTATTTATGTGGTATGTTAAAAATTTATATATTTTTTAGTTGTGGGATGTCTATAGAGATAGAAAATGTATTCGAACTTATATAGGTCATACACAAGCAGTTAGAGATACATGTTTCAATAATAAAGGCACAAAATTTTTATCAGCAGGTATCCTTTTACTTAATTATACATTATACTAATCTTAAGGTTGTTTTTTTTTAATTAAAAATAAATAACAAACATTATTATTTACTTAGCGTATGATCGGTATGTTAAATTATGGGATACGGAAACTGGAGATTGCATAAAAAGTTTTACAAATCATAAAGTATTATATTGTGTTAAATTCAACCCGGAGGAAGAAAAACAACATTTATTTGTTGCTGGTACTGCTGACAAGAAAATTGTTTGTGTAAGTGAGAAATTAATCATTTTTGTTAAAAAAAAAATAATAAATCAATTGAACATTGATGTTAGTAATTTATATATTCAAACATGATTTTAGTGGGACACTAGATCAGGAAATATTGTTCAAGAATATGAAAGACATTTAGGAGCAGTTAACAGTATAACTTTTGTTGATGAAAATAGACGATTTGTCACAACATCTGATGATAAAAGTTTACGTGTTTGGGAATGGTAATATATAAAAATTATACTATATTTTTATCACAATTACACAGTTTATTAAACATAACATTAGACTATTTTAAAATTAAAACTAAGAAAATAGTATTTTAATTGAACCAAAAAAAAAAAAAAAAAAATAATTAATAATCATTACTTGATATTTTACTTAGGGACATACCAGTAGATATGAAGTATATAGCTGATCCAACCATGCATTCTATGCCAAGTGTAACAATTTCACCAAATAAAAAGTGGCTAGCTTGTCAAAGCATGGATAATAAAGTTGTAATATTTTCAGCAATGAATCGTTTCAAAGTGAATAGAAAAAAGAGTTTTTCTGGTCATATGGTAGCAGGATATGCCTGTTCGTTAGATTTTTCACCTGATATGAGGTACAAATTACAAATTATACATGGTTCTAACATTGAATATTACTTAATTTTTATAATTTATTCATTTATTTAGTTACCTAGTCTCAGGAGATGCTGATGGAAAAGTATTTATTTGGGATTGGAAAACAAGTCGTTTGTATACAAAATGGAAAGCTCATGATAATGTGTGTATTGCTGCATTATGGCATCCGCATGAACCTAGTAAAGTAGCCACTGCTGGATGGGATGGACTGATCAAATATTGGGATTAATGAGATGTACATTAAATATATTTTGGGTATCTTTAATGTTAGTTCCCCATGATTTATTTCGTAAGATTCTCAAACATGTAATATATATATAAAAATATCCTTTGACAATATTATTATAATGACATTTTATAAGAATTAACTTGTATATTATTTCATGTTAAATCCTAAAAATACGAGATAATATTAATTTGAAGAAGTTTTATTTAAATATAAATTAACTTTTTTTTTAAATGTTCCAATTATAAATTTCAAAATTATTTGAAACATAATATTTTGTGTATTATGAACAACTTAGATTGAAACCTCTAGAAAACATATTTCGTACTTAAAGAGTATTCTTGAAATATTTGATATTTATGTTCAATGATTAGTTTGTGGTTGTAAAAGATAGATAGTAACACTTCTGATAGTTTTTAGTTTTATAAAATGTAAAAACAATGGTCAATGAAATTTACTTAGCATTTATTGTTATAATCGGGAAATTAACTAGGTATTCGTTTAAGAATGTATTTAGAACCATATTTCACATTTATTCTGAATTATTGCTAGGTAAGGAAAAACCATTGTCACCTTAAATAAAATTAGTCAAAACAAAAAACTGTAAATATGCAGATTTGAGTTGATTTTAATTTTTTTAATTACATTTGAAATAAATTTAAAAATTAAGGAATTCACCATTTTGTATAGTAGGTGTTGTGTACTTGGTCTTTAAGCATAGAATTGTAACAAACGGGTATTGAATGATAAACCATTATGTACAAAACATGATTCTGAACTGAAACAGTTTATACTAAGATATACAATTTTATGATATACTACAGAAGCTTTAAAAAAAAATTAATATAGCTTCAACTCAGGATTGTTTATTATTCTACGACACTGACTTACCATATTTTTAATATTGTTTATCTTTTAATTATTAGTGATAGAGGAAATGTGGAATTTGATGATGAATTGCAACAAAATAATAAAGTTGCTTTTGTTAAAAATATATATTTTATGTATATTACTAGCTGGGAAATTTTCATTTTTTATTTAGTTCATGTCTTATAATACACAGAACTAGATACAATTTGCTATTATCAAAAATCCTCCAGTAAATTTTAGATTTTTAGCTATTTTACATCTCTAAAATGTAATATTACAGACAAAAAAGAAAAAAAAACCCATTGTAAAATCAATAAATTCATGAAATTTAAAATGATTAAATAATATTGATTAATGATTTCTAAAATCTCTAATTATTGTATAAAACTATACGGTCATAAATATTACTATTTTATTTTAACAAACTATTAAATTTATGTTATTTTAAGTAAGTATACTTTTATTTAAAGAATTAATTTAAAATTTAAAATTAAAATTACATATTTCAAAGCTATATTTCTCTTGCCAATTAGATATCAATATATGCATATAGCTATCACTGAAAATCAAAGTTCTGTGACAAGAGTTGATCTAGCAGATTTTATCATGAGAATACATAAGAATAAACGAGTTTAGTTCCGCGGCGGTTAACGTTATTTCAGGATTTAGACTATTATCAATAATTGAGTAAACAGTTAAATTTTACCAATTACCACGATATAATCAACTTTATTATTTCATGAATTATACAATTTTATTTTTACATTTAAATCAATTGATTTTACTCATATTAGGTACATTATAATAGTTACACATGCTTTTAAAATTCACAAGATATATTTTTTATTTTCTAAAATGAATTTATTGTATTTTTGGCATGATTTCTTGATAGTACTTCTGTGTTAGCTCCCAATAAGATTTGGTTCTAATTTTTTAAAAGCTTTAATCTTCTCATGGATATAAATATTTTATTTCCATAGTATTCAACTTATTTCCTAGCTGCCAAACTTAATATCATTCAGGATTGATAGTACAAACAATAAATATTTCATAGGTAGCTTATGAGTACTTTTAAAAATGAGGTAAACAAACTTTGCCAGCAAATAGCTCAGATATTACAGTTACCCAGAGTGACAAAACAAATAAAATATATGAAATGCCAACTTGATGACTGTTTGGCAATTGATATGGTTGACCGCCAATTTCTGGTATATGAAAACCCATGGGAAACACAACAGCAGCAAAACAAAATAGTACCACTGAAAAAATAAACAGTTGTAAGTTTATTTTAGCTTTAAACATATTTAATTTATCTTACTGGCAGTAAATCCAACCCAGCGTGCATATGGTATGACATTACGGTCCCAATGTGAAGAAGCCAGCAAAATTATGGTGGTAGTTATACATATACACCCAATAAAAATACTGACTAAGGCCAATAACCATTCAAGTCTCAGATCAGGTGTAAAACATACTTGTGGCCTGTTATAGAGGGTCATACACGTCCACATCAAACCCAATCTGGTGTCGCCTAGAAACCAATTTTCTTATATTAGGATCATAAGAATGAATATCTGAATTTAGAAATCCAGCAAACTAAAAATAATTACAAGCTAATAATCACCTCCTACATCAGTAATGATCCAGTCAGGCATTGCCAAACTAACGATTGCAAATACATCAGCTAACAAGAACAAAGTCCCCGAAATAACAGTGAGTTTGTCCATTTTAGTCTTGCGATTTCAACCCATGATAGATTATTGGAACCACCTAATGACACTAAACATTTTTGTTATTAATTCATATTTTCTTTATTTATTAATCAATTTACTACAGCTGTAGTAGGAAATACATTAAGTAACTAGTACTATAGTAATTCAGTCTGAAACTTACAAAAAATAAAACCATAGGCAGTGATCAATAATCAAAATTCAAAATTAATAGTTAATGAACAATAATACATTAAATTATTATTAAATCAATGATATTAACGTGATAGTGTTATCTCATTGTCAAGGCGTGTTGATACCATGAAGATAGGTATACCTAGAGCTTTTGCATATTAAAATTTTAAATAATTATACACCTTGTTCATTTCCACGGTTTAAGTCTTAAACTTTAAGATAATCATGCTATATTACCTATATTATATCTTAAACCGTGCTCTTTTCTAAAACTTTTGAGATTAATGTAGAAGAGTGAGTGACAGACCATGATATATGAGTACCTACTAACTTTTATAATAATATTATGTTGTAGACATTCTGTGATTCTGTATTTTTAATCTCCAATTAGTAATAATCAAGAATTAAAATTTACAAACAGTAGTACTGTTATATAATAGAAATAATTATGGACTGTAGATAATGGTGTGTCAAAACGTCTTGAAAATTATTTTAGAACTTTTTGAAAGTAAAGCTTGTGATTTGTGAAAGCAGTTAATTAATTCATGAATATCGGCTAAAATTTTAATGGACTTGTCATTGTTACCTACTTATGTAAAATTATGTTTTTGACTATTCATATTCAGGTACTCCAGACTTCAAAATATCGACTTCTTACTTTAGTAATAGCCAATAGGCTGTTCATTAAAAATTGGTTTGGTCATATAATTGCCAGTTTGTTAACTAGTTATTAGTTATCGTTCTTAATTTTTGCAAAACCACTTGAATTAATAATCAAATGTAAAATCTTAAAAATATAAAAAAAAATATTGTCAGATCTAAGTCTCGGAAGGAAGGATGCAACCATAAGCAGGTACTATAACATTGGAGATCTACTCAGAAATTATTGTATTTATATTATTTTGATACATTAAATTAATATATTTTTATAATTTTTTTGTTTTTATATTTTATTAAAGTGAAGATGAATTTAAAAAGAAAATATTTTAATTTGGTGGATACTTCAAAGTTCATTTAATGTATTCTTTTTTAAATTGAGTCACAAGTTAAAATAAAACTGAAGAAAGGAACTATGTATAGATTTTTACACTTTATTTACTGATCTTATTTGAGAACCCAGAGAACCTATAGAAGAGCTTAATAGGCTATCGAATTCCAACTACAGATTAGTAACTCGGAATACTCGAATACAACTACTTAAAACAAAATGATTGGATATCATTTTGGCTCAAAACAATGTCTACAGGTATAAAAATTGAGTTGATTTTTACTGATATTTGGTATTTAGGTTTAATGTATTTTGAATTAAAAATATTTCGTGGACCCGAATGTCAGAATTTTTGGTAAGTTGTGTTATTCTGTCATGAACCATAATTAATAATTATTATGGTGGAACAAAATGTATCTTAGAACTACGCTACAGATAATAGTGATAATACTGACTGTCTCGAATTCTCTGCTTTGGCGGCAGTATAAAATGGCGACGACGGTTGGTCACAATGCGCTTGCATGAAAAAATATTGCGTAGATGTTCGTGCGCAGAATGGCTGCGCGCACGTCGGACAGTAAGCGGAAGGTACAACTACTACAACTACAACAACAATAACACATCGCGAATAGCGATAACCGCAGTATCTGTGATAACCGTTTCGTCAGCCATTCCATCATAATTCATAATAATTTTTTTTCCCTATTATTTTCTTGTTTGTGTTAAACGATTAGGTATATTGACGATTGTAAAAAACGAAATATCTTATCGTATCGTTGTTGACAACTACAAATGTGGTTTTCTCCAATGATTTTATCGTGAATACGACGATAAGGTACGATCGCGCCCGATCAATGACAGATTTCATTTTTCGCTATCTTCGGTTCCGGTCTATCGTCGTCGTTACAGCTTTATAGTGTTTGTGTTTGATTATAATTATTATCATCGCATCGCGCCTACCTATCGTTAGAAAAAAAAAAAAAATCGTCATTTTCGGACCGAACAAAACAGTTTAAATAATATTTGAATAGCGATAAACGGTCGTTCGCCGATGATTGCGAAAACGTGTAAAAGGTCTGGTGGAGCGGCCATCGCCGCCGCTTGATCGCAAAACCATGACGCAGTCGTATCATGGACCGCGTGGGACCATTGCCACCACCCAGCGCCACCAATGCAACGCTATCGGTGGACAGTTCCAAGGGACGTCTGGTGGTCGATCGAATAGACTCCATTAGGAACCTGTTCGGATGTGAGCTGCGGATCGTCCACGGCGGTAATGGGACGTCCCCGGCGGTGGTTTTCGCCGTCACCAGGTTGGACGAATGTGACAACAAGGCACCCGACGATCATTTGATCGATCGGTTAAAGGTAAATAATACTGTGCATCGTATTGAATAATTTTATGCGTCGATTAAAATACTGTGTAGCTAGTCACTTCCACAGGTGCACAGCCAGAATTTTTTAATGAGATGTCTAATTGTATATTCAAATATACGTAAAATGTGGGGGACTTAACACATTTTATTGTATATTCATCAATTTTCATTTTGTAAATATTTTATGTCAGATATGAATTAGAATCATATAAAAACATATATTGTACAAATCTGAATCATATAATAAGCATAATTTTTGCATCAATGTGTTTTGAGAGTCAGGGTGTTTTTTAAGTCTTACTTAACGGTTGATCTTAAGCTTTTTAAAAATAAAAATGCTGTAGACTTTTGCTCAAACGAAGTTGTGCTTTAGTGTCATATCTGTTTTTTTGTTAACGATTTGTATTTTAAAGCTTAAAATTTAACGAGATTTTGATGGTCAGCTAGTTGTATAGTATACAACACTTATTATTCATTCGATTCGCTTCAAAACCAGTCACTGCCATAATTTGTCAGCAGACAACGAGTTGACTACCTACTACAAATATTATAAAATATAATAATAGTATAATGTTTTTTCGAAAATACGACTTTGTGTAATGTATTTTAGACAGCAATTGAGGTGCTGTAGCAATGATAGCGATTTAAGTGTTGAAAATCTACTCTCCATGACCCCACTTTCTTTTATTGCGATGATTAGAATATCAAAACAAAAAGTTTTTGTTTTTTTATTTTTATTATTATTAATTTTGAATTATTCGTCTTTTATAAATCTGCTGTATCTCATGTAAAAATCTAAGTATAATGTATAACTGAGTTTTCTCCTTAAGCCTTACATCTGTCGCATTATTTTTCTATAGTAGGTGCTTTCCTATATTAAGCTGTTTAGTGCCGTAGACAGGAACTTAATGTAGTAGGGAAGGGGGTTCATCATAATTTGTATCCAAACAAGGTCATATTTTAATAAATAAAAAAAATTCAAAACAAAAAATACTTTATAAGATATTAGTAGTGTTTAGTGTTTAGAAATATATTTTTATACTATGTTGTAAGAGGAAGGAATCAGTCCCCCAAGTTAGGCGATCAGATACTGTCATTAATTTTCAGAGAAGTTCCTATAAGCTTTTCTAAATGAATAAGCTCTTTTTTTTGTTTGAAATAAAGTATATAGTTTATTTTGTATTTATCTTTAAAATTGTATTCATAAAGTATCTATATTTGAATGAAAATACAATTTTGGCTCACTCTCATGACTTAGTCTCGTTTACGCCATTATGTAGGTACAATACAATAAATATTATAACGCCTATGTGTATTTATAAACTTATTTATACATTAATTAGTAGCAGCCGGTAGGCATAGTAAGTAATATTTGTTGTCGAAAACCAATAATGTGATGTGCACGCAATCAATATTAGATAACCGTAGCTCTAGGTAGATACTTATAATAGATGCGATGTTATGATATTATAATAACCGTCTATCGACGATATTATTATTTATTAATAAATAATAAATAATTATTATATTGTGTTACCGCAGCGTCCGAGCGTTAAATTTTTGTATGCGTTTGAGTTGCGTAATGGAATCCACGAACAAATCAGAAATTGAGAAATATAATACCTAATATTATGATGCACATTTTCGATTAATTATCACGTTTGTTGTATATATATATATATATATACCTAGAAATCAATATTTCACCGAATCCTGTTACACATAAAAGCACAATAGAGACATAAGTCTGGCATTCATAATTCTTATTCATGTATAAAAACATAATGCCGCAACGTTGTACACATATTATTTATAAGCACGTGAAAGGCGCCCAAGTACATCCTGTTCGTGTGTGTGTGATTTACTTTCCCTTTCGATAATGGCCTAAATCGTTTTTAGAATCCATCTGTGCGTTTAGAACGTCTATAATTGGATTGGTGTCTAGTTAGGTTGGTACATTTACGGATTTTCTGGTGTGTTTTTGACATTTTGATCTCCGATTACCCCTCACGTTTTCATTCGTTTAGTATTAGTATTTTTTTTAATATACCTAATGTTTATGTATAGCGAATTTGATACATATACTATTTTCCTATATTATATAGCTTAATTTTTTTTTCGACTAAAGGGTTTGTTTTCTTTATTTTCGATTCAAAGTCTAGCTGATATCGCTAAACTAATGTTAAGGTTTAAATTGTAGAACACAGACATTTAGCAATATAAATAACTGTATTTAAACCTAATATTTTCTAGTAATTCTGGATTACAATACTTGTATTTTATATTCGTTGTGTAAACTATAAAGATCCTCTTAAATTTCTTAAGCATGGTTATTTTCCTGTATGTTTGTATTTAAAACCTTGAAAAAAAAACCAGTACACTTACCTATTTAGATAAACTACTTAGTTTCGATTATTTTAGAACGTATCAAGGTGATGTATTTCTCTTTATGTACATATATAGATAAATTATACTGTATACATTGATTTATTTTTTAAAAGTTTGGTATTTACTTTATAATATTTAATTGGTTATCGATTATAGAAATTTCTATTTTACAATGCGTTTACTGCAAACAATCCAAAATAAATTTGTGTTTTCAAATTTTAATCGAATAAAAAAAAATCATTATGTTAATATATTTATAAATTCTACCTATATAAAATGGTAAAATTATTTTGAAATATTTGTGTTTTTTATAATTTAAATTATTGCATTAGTTAGATCACTATACTGTAAAACATACAATAATTTATATAATCTTGAACTCTGAAAGTGTTGTCACGTTAGTTGTCTCAAAATCCGTTACCCCGGGGTGGTCTTCAATCGCGCAAAAAACTTACTTATGGTAAATTGGTTTCTTTTTTTGGTGTTATCAAAAGTATAGTAGGCATTTTTACAGTGCTCAGTTTCTAAATTAGACCATTACATTTTTGTTGCACAGTAATTATGCTTCGATTATCTTGTTTTGTAAAAAAATAAATATATTTACGCAGTAGCGTGCCCAAGATTTTTAAATTGGGGGAGGGGGTTCAAAGAAAAAAAAAAGGTCATCAGATAAAAAAACTAATTACATCTAACAATTTTTCTTTTTTTCTTGATTCGATAGGTGAGGAGTTAGCCCCTCTTTCTCCTCCTGAGCACGCCACTGCATGTATTTATGTACAGTGAAACCTTACTATCTCAAACTCTGGTATCTCAAAATTTCTGTGAATCGAATTTTTTTTTAATCCCAATCATTCAGCATTGAACTTAAGTGTTTATTTATTTTGGTACCTATCTATCTCAAATTTTCACTTGTCGAATTTTTCTTTAAGTTGAAATTACAGCATAGTTTTTACAATTTACTAACTCTAATATATAACAGGTTATATTAATTATTTATTAGCAAGCCAATAAAATAGAAGAAGATAAATCACATAACTTATATAATGCTGTAAAAACGTTGGGATTTATAGCTCAGTTAGTAACCGATAGCGTTATACCGATTTTACTTTTTTTTTGATTTTATTTAGTGTTCAGTCAACTGTCAACTTGTCGTTAATATTTGATAGGTTAGTACTTGTTCGGAATTTTAATTATACAGATTGTGTTGTATTTTATTAAGTGTGTTTTTCTTTAAAATTACGAATAAACTGTCTTTGAAGTGCTTGCATTTTGGCGACGAATTAAAAATTATAAAAATAGTTAAAAAGGGTGAAAATTAAAAAATGATATTGTAGCAGATTACAATACTCCTGCTAATACTTTGTCATTAATAATAAACATTTTTATTTCAAATTTTGTGTTTATTTTAAATATTTAAATTACCTCTGTAACTCGAAGTTTTGATGTATCGAATTTTTTTTTGTTCTTCTAGACTTCGAAATACTGAAGTTCCACTATAATGAGATATATATCGTTAAATAAAAAATAATTGTGTTTTCTATGATAAAATATATTTTTTTATTATAATGTGTTGTATTGTTATTAATAAAAACCGAATTCTTAATTTATATACAATATAGGTAATTATTAGACATATCTTGCAGGTTAGATTAGGTTAGATTCAATTATTATATTATAATTTGATTTGACTTTTATGATTGCCTTATTATTTAAATATATGATAAATTGATAAATAAGTGAAATGTATACATTTTTGTACTTATTAAATAAAATTTTATAATTTTACTGTAAAATCAATAATTATATTAATCGCAAGAGATTTATTTTATTTTTTTCAAAATTGTTGTAGGTGCATAAAATCTATTATATAGTTTAGTTTTCTTATTTGTTTGATACGATTTTTAATCAAATATCCTTATTAATGTATATTATTAATATTGGATCTTACATTGTTAATATATATATATATCAATTAAGGCTTCTGAATCGAAATAATGTAATCACTTTAGGTATAACGTACTACGTACATTGTGTATTTGTGTATGTAGTAATAAACATTTAAAATCATTGGGGTTTAACCAACTATTAGTCAGATACTGACTTACTAATACTGTGAATTATGTTTTGACGAATGTACGAAATTTAAAATATAAATATTATCTGTTATTGAATGTCGTATTGTCACAGATTAATGTGCTTAGAAGGTCATACCTGGGTTATACTTGACTTTACTTGATGAATACTTTGGACACTTTCTCCGAGAATTAAAATCAACTGCTTTGATGCAATTGTTATAATAGTATAAAAAGAACTACTGGGCCGTGCAAAACATTATTATTATAATATGATTTGAAAGCAAAATAGAAACGTTTATACAATTTTTAAAAGTAAAATAATAATTTTAATTTGAAATATATTATTTATTATTTACAGTATTAATGTTATTTATGTATAATTCAACTGGTATTACATTTAAGTTGTAATATATTAATTTATAAATAAAAACTATAATGTTTTATTTTCAATTAAAAATGCTGAAATATTGTAATCAGGCATTCCTAAATACTTAATTTTAACATATAAATGTGTGATGTAATTTATTAC